GAACCGTGTTTGCTCAGTCTGACGAACGTAGACGTTCTAAACAAGGCTGGTCTGTCTGGTTCTAGATGGTTAATATAGAACCGTGTTTGCTCAGTCTGACGAACGTAGACGTTCTAAACATGGCTGGTCAGTCTGATTCTAGATGGTTAATATAGAACAATGTTTGCTCTGTCTGAGGAACGTGGACGTTCTAAATATGGCTGGTCTTTCTGGTTCTAGATGGTTAATATAGAACCATGTTTGCTCTGTCTGAGGAAAGTAGACGTTCTAAACATGGCTGGTCTGTGTGGTTCTAGATGGTTAATATAGAACCGTGTTTGCTCTTTCTGACGAACGTAGACGTTCTAAACAAGGCTGGTCTGTCTGGTTCTAGATGGTTAATATAGAACCATGTTTGCTCTGTCTGAGGAACGTGGACGTTGTAAACATGGCTGGTCTTTCTGATTCTAGATGGTTAATATAGAACCGTGTTTGCTCTTTCTGACGAACGTAGACGTTCTAAACATGGCTGGTCTGTCTGGTTCTAGATGGTTAATATAGAACCATGTTTGCTCTGTCTGAGGAACGTGGACGTTCTAAACATGGCTGGTCTTTCTGGTTCTAGATGGTTAATATAGAACCGTGTTTGCTCAGTCTAAGGAACGTGGATGTTCTAAACATGGCTGGTCTATCTGGTTCTAGGTGGTTAATATAGAACCGTGTTTGCTCAGTCTGAGGAACGTAGACGTTCCAAACAGGGCTGGTCTATCTGGTTCTAGATGGTTAATATAGAACTGTGTTTGCTCAGTCTGAGGAACGTAGACGTTCTAAACATGACTGCTCTTTCTGGTTTTGGATTCTCAGCAGTATTTTCGTTGGTAGACCATTTGCTGATAGATTCTGTGGGGTTTTCTGGTTGGTTGTCAGTCTTTTGTCTTCCTGAGAGTCAGTCCATCTATAGCTTTGGGTAAAATCTGTTCTGGTTTTAGACTTCTGTGATGTAGCTGAATCGATATCTGACGCCCGCTCTAGTCGTCCTGTTCCTTACAGTTGAAGCGTGGGGGGAGAGGTTGAGTAGAAATGGTGAAGGAAGATCTGAGGAATCCCTTTTGGAAGGAATTCAATTCCAGCAGGTGATTGGAGTTGGGCTGAAGAACATGTGACCTCACAGGTTGTTTTTCATGAATAGCAATTCTAGGACATTTTACCCCCCGCCCCCCCCAAACTTTTTAGGAGCTGTCCATATAAGGGCTCCTATTTATCCGCAAACATTAAAAATAGTAGAGTCTGCAAGTTTTCTATGTTGAGGTGACCTGAAACACCGGAAAATCCCTTTCTAACCAAAAGGTCAGATTCTTTTATTTCTGCTAAACGGTCTGACATGTCTTTATTTTCTTATCTTATATCAGCAGCGGCTGGTGGAGATTTCTCTCCAGGGGTGGCTATTAATTCAAAATAGACATAACAAAAACCAATCAAATGCAAACTAAGTTATCACACCAGTATATTTAGATGAATGCCAACATCAAAAACATTATAAAAACTCTTTTTAAAAACAAAACATCATTTCATGTCCGGGTTTACTTCAGGGGGGGACTCGACCTGTACTAGCTGCAATATGACTGTGATGTCAGTTCCTGTCAGCTCAGGGCGCAGCTCTCCCAGAATCTCCTCTTATCTAACATTCCAGAGGAGCTTCTGCACATGGACAACTTTTAACCAGAGTCTATGGCCAAAGATTCTTGCACCCAAGGACGGAAATACGTCACCAATCTGACAACAAACAAAGCAGCATTAAAGATCTTGCACATCTAAAAAACATATCAACATATTTTTAAATTGTTAAATTTTATAATTTAATCATTTGTTTTTTTAACTCTTAATCGAGGTCTTTGGGGGGTGGGGCAGCGTCCTGGCGCCCTCTTTTGGCCAGATGCCACTTCTTATTATGAGCGTCAATATTCCTGCATATTGACCCTAATTGATGAAGTAATTTCTCCTTTCCATGGAATTATAGTTCTGAAAATAATGCAGTATCATCTGCATACTGGCCAATCTTGTTCCCGGTGATGCAGTAGTGAAGAATGAGGGTGACCTTCAGCAGCCCTGGTGAACGCCTGGCTGGATTTTATATCTAACAAACAGAAAGGGTTACTGACCAAACCATTTGACCATTGTCCATAAAGTCTACCTAATCTAGCTGCTAACGATCCATCAGGACTGTTGAGTGTACTGCCTTTAGCACTAAGCAGCTGATGGACCCCTGAGATGCTGAGGGAGGCCTATAGAGTTCCAGCAGCTTGGTTTCAGGCACTTCCTGAAGCCACCATGGACAGGAGGACCCGTAAAGTAACCTGAAGCCCCCGTCCAAAATCACCTACATAGAGGTGCTCTACGCCACACAGTCCAGGCCACCAATGTCACTAAAGAGATGAAGACCACCTGGGGTCATTGTTTAAATTAGCTGATATAATGTCAGAAGTTCATCTGACCCTAGGTCTGTGGTTCATTGAAAGGAAGCTGCTTCATTAGGAACCTGAACACTAACCAACTGGACATGTTTTCTCCTCTGCAGAACGATGTGGTCGTTTCTTGGCGTCCTTCTTCTGAGTTCCCAGGGAACGTGTAAGAACCCTTTTTTCTTTTTTGTTTCATGTAGTTAATGAAGGAAATGTTTTGACATCAGCTTTCTGTCATCTGCGTCCTTTCACTGACGTCTATCAAAGGATGAAGGGAAGGAAGGCTGCATAAAGCCCAGCTATTCCTGCCTATGTTCAGTGTCCGGTCCCATGTCCTTCCATGTCTCACTGGCTGCAGAGCGTATAAAGGCTCTGACTGGGTGTAGAGCAGGGCCCCCACGAACTGAAACCATTCCTCACATCTGACTGGGAAGGATTCCAACCGCCCCCCTCACGTTTGGAGTGGCAAGTGGCAAGACACTCTCCACCTGTCTATGGGCGAGGGACGCCTTTCTCCACCTGTCTATGGGCGAGGGGCGCCTATCTCCACCTGTCTATGGGCGAGGGGCGCCTATCTCCACCTGTCTGTGGGCGAGATGCGCCTATCTCCACCTGTCTGTGGGCGAGGTGCGCCTATCTCCACCTGTCTGTGGGCGAGGTGCGCCTATCTCCACCTGTCTATGGGCGAGGTGCGCCTATCTCCATCTGTCTATGGGCG